AAATTATATCGAAATTTGGTAAGAATAACTGATGATTTAAAGATGGATCACCCCACATTCAAGTTTGTGATTACTTTCAACCCACATATTGTGACTATGGGGAGAATTAAGTACATGATTTTCATATTCTTTGAGATGAACCATTTGAATGCACATTTTTTCAGACACTGATATTCGCAATCGAACTTGAACCCAATATATTCCGCTTTAAATCCGAACTAATCGATTGAACTATTAGGTTTAGATATCTAAAAACATATTCAACGAATACGACCTTTATATCTTTATTTGATAGACTGTGGGTTACTCATTTTTTGATAATTAGGACCGAATTTTGATTAACCCTTATTGATATGTGTGCTTCGTGTATAGATAGTCTCTATAAAATGCATTAGGTCATAAGTTTTTAAGAACAGATAGATAACAGTAGATATGTATATAACAAGCCGTATAATGAGAGATAATATTTTTAAAAATCTCTCTGACATACCAATTAATGAGTGTTAATTATAAATCACTTCGTTTTTGAAAATATATTATCAAATAAGAATGTAACTTCTATGACGTCCTCCATATGGACACGGCCATAGATTATTGTTTCAAATTAATAATGGAATAAAACAAACAGCGTAAGAATATCATTGCTCGTGTCTTGGTTTCTAAAGTAATCTGTTTCCAATGCCAATAATGCAAGAATGTTTGTTGACTGACTCTAGATCCAAACTCGATTATTTAACAACAATTCGCTCGGCGGGAAAATTGAGAGCATCCGTTCTCATGTTAGGTAGAGTACCGGACGTACAATCCTGATTAATCCTACATTAATAGTTTCTTTAAGTGAAGTACTTATAAACTGTCTTCGAATGAAATTTGACGATTAAACTTTATCTTAATTTCATTTCAATAAATAAAACCTCTGCAGACATCTTTTATGTACTTCAATCTTGTTTATTCAAAGGAGGGAAGAAAAGAAAAGTACACCGACCGATTTGTTTGCTCAGTTTGACTTTTTCAGTTTTTAACTTCAAAATAGTTCTTTAAAATTTTGTTAAAAGCGTCTAAACACATTAGGTCATTACCATACATGATTAGTGACACGTCTTGTCGATGAAAAGCTATATACGATTCTCAAGCTATTCCGGTAACCCGCAGTCTAGAACTACACAGCGACTTGAACGCCAGAGAGAAGACACTAGTATGAGAGAAAATACTTTATCCCAAGGTTCATTTTTGTACAGAAAATCATAGGTATTTTTAGATGTTGGCGTCTGTTAAATCAACATCATATTTCAGCCAATCCGTTAACGACATATTATGCTACCGACCAAGTTGGAATTCCAGAACGTTCCATCATACTCTGATTGGTTAGGTCCCTTCGGCTCTTTTTGGGCCTCTGGAGGCTCCGTTGAAGTTCTCCGGAAGCCGACTCAACAATTAGAGAGTTTAATCGATTCCAAAACAGTAAATTTCATATCATATTTAAAGAGTTGAAGCATTGGAGAATCTGAGGTTTCAATAAAATTGCTGAATCCTAACTATACAGTAAAATATAATGGGCATTAGCACTGTAATGAACGAGAACACAAGTGGGCACATTCGAATGTAATTGAATAAAAACTTACAGAACACCTTATGTCAATCAATTATCTCAGACTTGACTATTCCTTCGTTTCTACACCAATCATTCATTGTACCTATTCTCTTTTCTTTGATGTTCTTAACCTTCCGTCACCAGTTATTTCACTTTAGATTGACGATAAATACTACTTATATCCGTTGACATCAGTAGCACACATCACACTACTACAAATAAATATTGACCATCCTATGAAAACTAATCAATACTTACAAGCTATCGTTTGTAAAAATTGTTTATCAGTTCGTCAATTTTTTGTTGTTGTTGATATCATTTCCGACTGAATATAACTCCCGTCAATTTCTTGCCAACTTTACATTATCGTTTACATAAAACATATTTTTGTTTCATTAAAAAAATGTGATTTCCAATGATAACAACTTGAAAGTTGTGTTTATGTTTGTTGATTATTTTGATTTCATGTTTATCTAAGTTTTTAATATCAGTTACGCTTGAAGAATTCATTCATGAAATAAAAAAGTTTTTCTTTTATATTTGATATTCAGTTTAAACTTTATTCAATCTCATTTTGAACACATGTAGTCATTTTTTGCTGAAAAACTAGTCACCGAACTCCTATATATATAGAATATGTGAAAGTATCAGTCACTGATTGTCTGTTTATTGATGAAGAATATAGTTTCTTTTTTTGTATTCCCTCATACATTCTGATGAGAACAGTGATAAATACGTTCAGTTTAGGAATATAACATTTAAGAAATCATTGAACTTACCTACTTATAACAATATGAATAACACTAGTTTTACAATTGATTGATCATTGGGTGGTGATCACTGTCATGTGTCTCATATCCTTATTAGTGTAGATCAAATACTATCGATCAAGTTGCAATGTAGCCACTAATCTAGGTAACACAATATCACGTCCACTATATTGAGATAACACTAGTTTGTCTACTTCAGATAAATTATCATATAAATACTATTTCAGGAGATATTATGTGTATTTATACTAGAAGTTTCCCTTACTCTATCTGTAAAATAATATATTGAATTGTTTTAAGTTCAAATGAAGTTTAAGGTTCATACGATGGATAAGTGACAATTCTTCGATGAGATGAAGGAATTTCAAAAGATATTTTTATAGACATTAAGAAACTTCGCCTACCACGTACTAATTTCGTGTTATAAAAAATATACATGTTAGAAGATTTTAAATGAATCCTCTGTACTGATACAGCAGGTAGCTATTCATGAATGCAAAAATTCTGATTAAATCTGTTAATAGAAGTTATTTAAACAGAGTATTCATTCTATTTCACGGTTTCTCATCAGCTACATACAACCTTAAATTACAATTACTAGCATAAATATAATTATTAACAAATGTTTAGCATACTTTAGTTTGTAAAGTTTAGATAAATGTTTGACATGCAACCAATATCATAATAATCAGGAGATTTTGACGGAGTTTTGTTCTCTGAGCTCAGAGAACGTCTTTATAAACCTAATAGAAACTGTTCTCTCTTTTCTTTCTAGAAACTTGCTACTGCAGGTACATATAAATTCATAGATGTTACTGGAGGTGGCGACGGAAGGGTATCGACCTACCTTTGAATGGCATAACGGAAACTTCATGTTGCATAGTGAAACAAATTGGAGTTTTCTTTCATATTCTATCGTAAACATTATGCTTGCATGAGAGTTGTTGAAATTAATAAGTAGTTAAGAAGTGTGATCCATATCATCACAGGTACTTATCCCATAACTGACGTATATAGAGCCGCTTATTCAGTCGAAATCTTCAGGTTATAGGCATTGTATTTATTTGAGCACATGAATATTGGCAAAAAGGGAAACCGAATTCCTACGCGCGACACACGTCACTTCATTTGTGCGTAACGTGTCATACTGCCCGTTTGCCCAGACCGAAAAAGGTGGTTGTATTAGGGAGCCACACCCAAAGCCTTCGACCTAAAGGTCTGATTCACAAGGCAGTGGAGCAATGTCAGGAAATGCAGTCTCATGGTAGCGGTTGACAAACGATTGGTTCATACGACATTTATTCGTTCAGGATACTGAAGACCATGTGCACCATTGGTTTTCCAAATCCCCTAGGTAGATCCTCCATATTTACCAACCCGGTTAAAGCGAGGGGCATTCGATTTTTGTCCTCTCAATTTCGTAAACAACAGTAATGTTACGAGAAGGCAGTGGGTAAGGCTTACCTTACAGAGTGGCTGTATACACATGACCATATGAGAGCATTTTGAGAGAGAGAAGGCTGCCCCCACCTTCGGCCATAGCAGGGAATTCGGGGTAAGTGGACAAGTGGAGAACTCCACTGTTTCAATGAAACACTATGATATCGCAATCTCTTAACACACATCAAAATTCATAGTTTCTATATCAAGGACTGGTCTTTTTCAAATCATCATTGAAAACTAACAACCACTGGGTGGATGATACGTCTTCGTACGGGATTCCTCAAAAGTGCTCACCTACGACTCTGCTATCAGAAACAGAAACTAGCACCTCCCATCTCATGCGTGAATGCTTAGCATCGAAACCAGTATGTGGGTATCTGATATGTCTTTGAGATTGAACGCTACTTTGTTATATCTGGTCGTCGCTGATTATTATGTCGGAATCATTTATTTCTTATACTTGTAAAGCGGGAAATCAACTCTATTCTCATGACGCGAAAGTGAGAAAACGAAGACTGGTTCAAATGAAGATTTATTAACCCCAAAACACAACGACAATGATAACATTAACCCTATTCATTTATATATTGATCCGTACACCCATTTTCATTAATAATTAGGATGAACTCACATATATAACGAATAATGAGGATCGTAACAAATCATATGTTACATGTCATGCTGAGTATAGCTCATGCCAATTTAATACAATAATACAGTATGTCATACAGAATAAAATATCATACGGGAAAACAGAAACAAATACTATATTGAGTTAAACAGGAATTAATGTTGAACAAAAATCATAATGAGTAAATCAATCTAATTTTAACTTTTCCCGTCATATCAGCATCCACTTGGGTGTATGTTTAGTTCCGATCAATTCACAATTCTGTGCAACCATCGCCCATTCTCTTTTGTGTGTAAATTTTTCACATACAAAGTTGTTGACCTCCAGTGTCCACAGCCTTTCAGTACGATTCCTGAGATTCACTCTCTAAGCGAGGTAGTAGTTTGTCGGCCAGAGGTTCAACATCCAAGTACAAAGTCGTTGATGCTCATTTCTGAGGAGTTCCATACTAGCACGAAATAGCCATACAAACCTTTATGACTTTCGTTGGTGGTCTAGATAAGATCAGTTCATATCTTAAACTATGAAAAATGATCAGTTATTATTATTAGCTTAATTGTCTGAGGTAGGTTTGGTTGACAAATTTATTTGTGTAAACAGGAAAATATTATTATTATTATTGCAATTAGTTTAATATTGAAACGCTGATTAGTTTATGTGTAGCAAACATAAAATATTTATAGACGTTTGGTTCCTAACATCAAAACTGTTACATACCAAAAGTTATTTCAGTCAAATGAACATGCCTTTGCTCAACAAATGTTTTGATGCTATTCTTTGCTATTTAGAATCGCTATTCATTTAACTTTATTTGAGTAGAGCATTGACAAATCAAGTCAGCACTTCTAATTATGCCTAACTGGTTAATTGTTCTCTGAAGAGATGGCCCACACTGAGTCACCAAACCTAACAAAATTTCATTTTTCTACTCATTGTGATGTTACAAATATATTAATCTATTTATAGCAATCTACCCAATGTCCAATCTGTTAGAAATTATCAAGTCAAACCTTGGTAATGATACCTATGGTGAAATAACGTTTTGTTTGATGCAAAGTTCATATGTATGTACCTGGGTCAAAATGGTAAACTTATATATGAGTTAGCGAATCTCGATAAACTTAAGACATATTGCTCACATATCATTTTACAGAATATTGACGTTTAGTATGTAGGGTAACAGATCCCAAAGTAAAAGTCACTTGCATATCGATGGCACTCCGCGAGATTTAAATCCAGTCTTGAGCGCGAGCGCTTAACCATTAGACCACTGAGCTAGCAGGCATCCAATGGTGTTAATGTCTAACCTCAACCAATCCACGAAATTGTGTGACTAGCATTTGATTGGTTCATTTAATCTATATCACACATAACAGCCAATCAAAATTCAAATATAAACAGCCTATCAGAATAAAATATTGAAATTTAATTTTAAACGTTATTAATATTATTATTGTTATCAGGGTTGCTTTTATTTTTTTGTTTTGTTTTATCGCATGTTTACCATTAAAAAAAAAATTAAAACACTCAAACACAATACCAAATAATTATGTCATATACTAATGAAACTAATTTACAATTTTCATTTACATTTTATTATTATGTACATTATCTTGGTGATTGTGAAAATATTGATAATCCAAATAAATATGGTAAACCATTATCATTACCAGAGAGATGGCAACAAATTCCTATATCATGTTTAACATTTATTGCATTTATAGTCAATATTATATCATTATTTATATTTATATTTGGTGAATACACTATCAATCGTTTAACAAGATACAATGAAATGAAAACAAGACCAATATCATCATCATCAAAGAATAAATTTATTACTAAAAAACATAATCGATCAAGAAGTTCCTTTTTAACAAGTTTAATTATATTAAGTATATTTGAAGTCATTTTCAATTTATTTGCATTTTTATTTAAATTAATTGAAATCTTTTCACCATATTTTATTCATCAACAAATAACATTGAATTTCAATAATAATCATATACCACCAGATATAAAAATAATTATAATACCAATATTACATAATATAATTATGTTTATTGCTGATATTGGTTTAATGTGTAGAAATTGGTGTATATGTTTAATAACAATTGCACGTGCTGAAGTTGTTATATGGCCATTAGGTTCAAAATCATGGCAATGTATATTAAGAAAACCATATAAATTTACATTTATATTTATGATCTTTTTTATTATATCAATTATAATATCCGCTTTTAAACATATAGATTATATTGGTTTATTATGTTATGATAAAAGAACTCAAAAATATGGTTTATGGTCAGAAGAATATTATTGGAGTTATGATGATTTTTTAAAATATATGTCATTTATTGTATTACCATATCAAGCAGTTATACCATGGTTTATTATTACTCTATTTACTATACTTATCTTATTTAGATTAAAACCATGGAAAAATGATAAAAATTTAATTTTATTTACTAATAATACAAAATTTTTAGAGGATATACCTGATATACAAAAATCAGAACCACAACAACAACAACAATGTTGTATACAACAAGATGCTTTAAAGAAACGTCAACAAGGTCAAATTAAAGCAACAAGAATTGTATTAGTTGTTGCTATTTTATTTGGTTTATTCGAATGTATGAATTTCATTGTATCAATATGTCAAACAACAAAACTTATAACTAATAATTCTATAAATCGTATATTAGAAACAATTGGTAATACATTTATAGCAACTGATTCTATATGTAATTTCTTTATATTCATATCAATGATGTTATATTTCCGTCAATTATTTGCAAAAATATTTCTTTGTAAAGAAATTAACCAAAATATGAATACTACTACTACGCTTACTACTACTACTAATAATAATAGTAATAATAATAATAGTACTGTTCCACAAAAGAACACATCATATACTTCTGTTAATCAAACATATATGACTAATGTGAATGATATGAATAAATTGAATAGTGAACGTCCATAAATTATAGAAGTTTGATTCATTAAAACAAAAATTAAAAAAACTAAAACACAGTTACCTATTGAAAATCTACAATATTTCTTGGCATTATGTTAATAGAATTTGCTTAATAAGGTCATATTTTATAAATATTTATTGTTCAGTCATTACAATTTAGTTCAACATTCCATTTCTCTTCCTTACATAATAAACTATCTTCTCCATAAGATCGAAGAAATACATTAATCATTGACCTTTATTCGTTTTTGCACTCAGGCAAGATCATAGCCTATATTCAAATCAATTGACTTATATGGCACATATGTATTCGGTGCCCACTTGTATCAATATTTATGTGTTCAAACAAATAAATAAATTATTATTATTGCCTCAATACATGGTTCAGGTATGTTTTTGTTCATCCAAGTTCAATTCATTATATGCTTGTCATTTGTCTTCTTTCAAAAGAAAAATATTTTATCGCTTGTCTTCAAATGCGTATATGTAATAATTGTGATTTTGAAGAAAATAAAAGTAATACTTCTGATAATTTACAAAGATCTCTTCTTCCTTACTGATTTAAAGTAATTTGAAATTATTTAATCTTTCAGAAATGGTAGTTTATTACAAGTACTTGCCCCTAGCCCCTTCCAGCCAAACAAGTTGGTGAAACCTATTAGGCCATTCTGGAGAGAAATAAGCCATGTCGAAGCTCGGCACAACCACCGATGTCTGAATAGCTGTTTTGCAACCGGTTGGAGTTTGCCCTGTAAGGAGTAACCCCGTAGATTACAAGCACCATTTGTATCAATTTTTGTCGTTTTTCCATCCAACAATAATTCTGCTATGATTCTTTGTGGATTTCGTAATCGCTTTAAGAGTATGGGTTGAGTAGGTGATTAGTCTGATCTCTACCACCCGGGTTACCGCTCACGTTAGTTCGTGGGTCATCCATCCTACTATCCAAGAGGCACGACGCGGACGTGTGAGTCGGGTTTTGCCTCCCACTACAAGTACTTACTTCATTTATAAAATTTCTATACTACTTATTCCATTAACAATATAAATTTAAAACAATTAGTCCCTTTGATAAATTTTGATAATGCAATGAGAAGACGTAGTTTATCACAATTATGTGATATATTTGCGCAATACATTTCGAACAATCTGATCACACATTCTTGTTAAGAACATTTATATATGAAATTTTAAAAGGTCAAATAGACAGGTTAAGGGTAATTCATAACAAAGGAAAAATATTAAAGTACACAAAAACAAATGTGATTACCACTCTGGATAATAAATAGTATCACCTGGGTAGGTTAAGTGTAAAGACAAATTGTTTTTGAACACATAAAGGGGGTTTCAATTTCCGTATAGCCAAGGCTTCAATAAACCTTGGTTGACATTAAGCCCACGGCAATTAAGATTCCCTACCACCCATTTCTAAAAAATTGTAGGGTGTGAATGAAAAATTTAGCGATCGGTGATTGGTGTACTCGTTTTGCAAGTGTGTACTGAAGTGATAATGAACAAAAATTTTGTTACCTTTAATAATTTTGTGATTGGTCGTAAACTGTTCATCTTTGTAATCTGATTAGTTGAAATCGAAATCGCATCTGGAGCTGTGATTGGATGTCAGAATTTTAATTTTTACATTTGAAATTTAACGATAATGAATAATTCTTTTTGTGTAATGTAAGTCTTGTAAGAAATTCAGACATGTTAAGTAAAAAACACCAACTTAAGTGCAATTATACTGTTAGTGAATGTGTATTGGGATAAATTTTTGATTTCTGATCAAGTGATTTCATGTCAACCTTCAATTGGAGTTGTTAGTTATGTTGCCATGAATACTTATATGTATCACATTAAAAGAAAGTTTAATGAAAAAGGAACTGAAAATCGATTTGAATATTTGACAAAAGTTATTGCTGAATTCGGTTGGTTGTCTAATGCTGAATACCCAATTAATAAACAAATTATTACCGAAGTGTGTACATAATTTTTTGAGTGACACGTGGTCTGTTAATCGGAGAAACAAATCAACATATTAATAATTCATCATGATAAATTACTGGTTGCAAGATGTATAATTCAGGTGAAGCAACCGTAGACCATCATTGAATGAACTGACTTTGACAGTATATGAATGTAGTAATAAATTTTCCGAAATAGGCACTTAATATTTAGTGAACGTTTATTTTGTAAATGGCCATTCTTAATGAGAATTAGGAAACGTTAGATTTAAATGCGGTGAATTTTGAAACGGTTTTTTGTTTTCACTTGTAAATTATTTGTAGTTCTGTATTTTAAAATTAATTTTTTGGTCGTAATAAATACTAGTGTGTTTAATCAGTCATGTGTGAATATTGTTAACTGCGTAATATGAAACCTGAATTATCTAGACATTATGAATGTAACCATTTTTGACAAGCGTTTGAAATATCAGTTTCATGAAGTATAAATGAACAAGCCTACGTCGTCTGACTGACTCAACAAATATCTATCGACATTAGACGTATAAATGTGAATAAGGTCAAGTGCCTTAATGAACATTTAAAATGTTATTATTATTTATTATCCTGATGATCATTATTATTAGTATTACTGTTATTATTATTATTATTATTATTATTATTATGTCAATTGACAAGATTCAATTCTCATACTAGGCATTTCATTGACACAGACTTTTGCATTTTCAATGTTCCTATAATGCTTAGTCACTTATTGTGACTGAACACTTTGCTGCAAATCATCCTGACCTTTATTGAATGACCCTTCTAATTTGCATATATATATATATATATATATATATATATATATATATATATATATATGTCGTAACAGATGCAAACGTTCACCATTGTTAACCCATTACATTGTCAAATTCATTAATGCCATGCCTTATTCTTGGACTTTATAAAATATTAGAATTATAGACTTATAATTGCGTAGTGTGATGATGCGACACAAGATATGGTGAGCATTAGGATACACCTGCATGATGGCAGCAGCTATTGCAGGTGAATCATCTGTCACAATGCCTACCACCTGTCGACCGTTGGTTGACCGTTGGAAGAACGACAGGAATCGAGAAATCAAAGTCGATGTTTCGCGACTTATAAATGCAATACAAACGGGTATCGCCTTCAAATTCATATCAAGGGCTACAACCTGATATAAATAGATATTCTCGTTATTCGTCTTGTATGTTCCGTCCAAACCAATAACATCAGCGAAACGATCTGCAAAAATCCTTTGATCACCAGTCGTGAAGAAAAAGTACGATAGACAATTCTCATCGTCTCATACGTATTCGCAAATGTGAGCTTTCAATTTTCCGTAATCACCTATCGTTTACATTACAAATTGGCAAATGGCCTACCAGGAACGTTCGCGTGTGAGAACACTTTGTACCGCATATTATAGATATCTTGATTATTCAGTAGTTTCCCATAAGAATGGTAAGCATAATTCTTAATGTGGAATGAAGCAGTACCAGATACTAGCAGCGGTCGCACACTTTCAAACTGGGCCTTCGTTAGCCTGCGCACCCATGAATTACCTTGGTACCTCAGGGAATTGCACTCGTGATTGTGATGCACATTCCCACGTACAACAGTCCAGTAGCCGTCGATAATCTTACAATACATGAAGGCCGGACATTGAGTGTTCATGGAAGCCCTTCATGACAAAAAATTTTAATAACATTAATAAAATTACCTCTTCAATCTGATCCGCTGTGACGAACCGCTAGATGTTATACGGCCATGCCTCTAGCACACAAATTTAATATATGGGTTTTCATCTCTGCACAAATGCGAATCTCGAACTACGTAATGACAGTAAGTTGATCTTTCATAATTTGTGATAGCGGACTTCAACGCTTCAACCGATGGGAACGCAACGACAAACAATGTTGTCAAAAAGACTTCCTCCATTTCTGTTACGTGAGAAACAACAGCGCTTGTACTCGGCACGTTACTCTCCTCCATAATGATGATTAAAATGTACTTCGTCGACAAGTACTGATGTTTTATAACAATTCGACAAAACATAACTAACCAATTAAAACGAATTTTAAAACTAGCTATTTCATTGGACAAAACGGGATGAAAAAGATTGTAATTTTGGGTTGAAAAATTTTTTAAAAAAGGGGTGGGTTTTTTTTTAAAATTGCCGTAGGGATAATGAAAACCATAAACCTTAGTATACGTCCCTGAAGGCTTTTGTACAACACAACAAATGCTGATTTGATATCAACCTTATGACCCGTCTCATTCAAATGTTTCGCAATGGATGATGATGTCAGTCTATCCTGTGATCTTATTTGACCATTGGAATTCATCTGATTCTGCAACCATTTTGGTATATATTCACCCACCCTTAATTGCAAACCACGTTTACTCCTCCTTATGTACGTGTACCACACATACATGTAAGTTGATAGACATAATGGGATGTGCCACAATCGCTTTCGTGCTGTTTGGGCTTTTGGTAAAACACAGACCTTGTCTTTTCGATAATGACAAGTTGGGCTGCATAAAATGTCCGGTTTATAGGTAATTTAAGTCTCTGTTTCAACATGAGACTATTTGTGTCACCGCTGAATGGTAACGTAATATAAACTCGCATTTTGGGTGCCAGAAGCGTCATAGGTCTGGTCGTATTGCATTATCGAAACGATATAAATGTCAATGAACAGAGTCTTTATTATTACTAATTCCTCTAAATAATATATTGATTTCTTCAGTAAACTAAAGCTCTTCCTGTATCCTCTTTTTATTTATTTCTAATTCTGCTGAGGAGTATCTGTTGTAGATGTTAAGATATGTATTGACAAGTCAGTAATTACATTTACACATTTTAACAATATCTGGAGCTCGAAATGACTATTAGCCTAAACTAAAGTCATAAATTAGAACTAAGTAACGTAAAAATTTAGTTGGTTTATAAAGCTGCGATTTGAAGAAATATCACAACCATCACGGAAAATGTAGATGTATGTATAAGTAGCTGCTTACACAAAACATTTCAGACCTATTGGCCAGAGTTCATCAGTAATCACCTACTATTACAGAGAACAAAGCAAATGACAATAGAGGAGGAAATCAGAGAAGGATGCTGAAAATAAATAGAGCACACTACGGAAATCACTAGACCAAAACTTAGAGCAAGCTTAAATTTAGGATCATTAAGGTAAAAGAAAAAAAGATCAACCACATAACAAACGGTGCCAGAAACTGAACTTAGACATTAAGATCATGAGCAGTAATTGACAATATCTAGTAAGAAAAGA